CCCCCCCCCGCAGCCTGAGCTCCCTGCAGCCCCCCCTGGACTCGGCCCTCCAGCTGGATTGCAGGGCTCATAATCATAAAGTGGCCGGCTGGTTAGATGAGAGGCCGTGGTAACCTGATGCAGGTATTATTCCCGGGCGCTGCTGACGGCTGCAGGTAAGAGGAGCCTCCCGGTGAAACGCTAACCCTCGCTGCCAGTTCCAACCCAGAAACGCTGCGAACTGAAAGTGCTAAACACCGAGTTTACCAGTGTGACGCCACGGAGCAGCCTCTCCCAGAGGAGGTCAAGTGAAGTGATGGATACTGACTTTCTGTTCCTATAGTCGATGGTTTGACTGAAAAATGAAAACTTGTTCCTTTTCTTTCGCAATAATCTCATAAAGAAAACAATGAGTCATCACTTAAACACCTTGGTCCCTTAAATCCAGTTAGATCACACACTCATAGATATCAGTCTGTTGATACGTCTGATCTATTGATTCATGATTTATTCTCTTGGAAAATGTTTAAGAAAGTGCAAAACATAATCCACTTGTAAAAATCTTTTCTCGTCTCATTCTTCTGCTCTGATGAAATCTGTTCATTAGTTTTGACGTCGTCCGGAAGAAAAAATAAAAATGACCTCAAATCGTTAGTCAGACATTTGATGTGATGGTTTTCTTTTGTAAAACTTTGTAGTTTGGTTTTTTTTATGCATATTTAATTTATTCTTGTTGTTCTGGTTTGTTCCCTCGTGGCTGATGCACTCGTTATGTAACTTATCATTTTTATTTCTGGGTTTTAGTTGGAAGAAAACAAGACGTTGGGGACACGAGTCCGTTACTGGAGACAATAATATTTATGTCTCGGTGTAACTCTCTCTGCTTCTTTTCAGATTCAGTCTTTTCTCTCCTGGCAGATGATTCAGGTTTGAAGCTGATGAAAATATCTTTACATTCAGGATGTGTCTCTCTCTGTTGCCCCACGACGTCACTGGTATTCACTGGAGAAAGTGTCACAGGCTGAAGCTTATCTACAGGTTCCTGAAGTGAAAAGTGAACCGGGAAGAGACGGGAATACGTCTTTTTTATCACACAGCTCATGAAAGGCCTGTTTCCGGGGTAACGGCTGGTACCATTGTCATGCAGGTCTGGGGGGGGTGGAGTGGGTGACTTGTGTGGGTCTTACCCAGGCTGTGGGGTTGATGAGGGCTGAGGACGGATGGAGCCCCAGATTTATTACAGCGCTGGTTTTGTGAAAGTTCACTTACCTTAGCAAAGTGGGGCTCCGGACTCCCCACCGTCAGGAAAACACATCCCAGCAGACGACTCGCTCTCTCAGGCAAAGCAGCGACGCTTTAATGTGAAATAACCAAAATAAAGTCCTGCAGTAATGAACCACATGAAAGTCTCTGTGTTCAGGTCCGTGTTTATGATTCATTTCATATTTTTAAGCAATAATTCAAATATGATCATGTTTACAGCTTCTCAGACATGAACTGAACCACAGACATGTTCCTCACATGTTCCTCACATGTTCTGTATGTAAGAACAAAAGTCTTTCTTGCAGCCTCTAGAACTGGAACGTGTCTCTGAGGTTTCTAACACGTGACGGACGTGAAACTGGAAGAACACAAATGTCTCAGGATGAAGAAGAGGAGACACGTAGAAGACGAAGACGTCCACTTGGAAAGACGAGGAGATTCCAGATGTTTTGGTGATGTCCCCCACATGTTCCTGTTGTTGTGAACGAGTCGACAATCTGCTGCTTCACACACACTGACTACACAACATGTCTACACAACATGACTACACAACATGACTACACAACATGTCTACACAACATGTCTACACAACATGACTACACAACATGTCTAAACAACATGTCTACACAACATGTCTACACAACATGACTACACAACATGTCTACACAACATGTCTACACAACATGACTACACAACATGTCTACACAACATGACTACACAACATGTCTACACAACATGTTTACACA